TTACATATAGGTCAGAAAATCTGGACCATAAGATTTTTTTATCCTTTTCCTTTTACTACGTCTTGGTTGAATCTCAACCTCCTCTTCTTGTTTTTGCTCTTGACTATTTTCAGTCATATTCTCATATATCCGTTTAGAAGAGCTTCCCTCTTCTTTGAACTTGTATGGAAATACATGTTCAAAGAATGAAGCATTTCTAGATTCCATTATCGTGTTTTTGTGTATGTCTGAGATTTTAGATTCATACACAAGAAATCGATAAGCACTATTGTTATGTGCATATCCAATGAAGATACAATCTAGAGTTTTCGAGCATATCTTCACCTTCTTTGGTATTCGGACAACCACTTTAGAAAGACACCCCTACACTCGTAAATATTTATAGGAAGACTTTCTTCATTTCCATAACTCATAAGGGGTCTTTTCCAAGTTCTTCCGGGGCACCTTATTTCAAAGGTAATTTACTGACAACATAGCCTCCCCCACATGTTCTCAGGTAATCCAAAACTTATTAGCATTGCATTCATCATTTCTTTTAAGGTGTTATTTTTCCTTTCAACAACACCATTTTGTTGCAGTGAATAAGGTGCGGTGGTTTCATGTATGATTCAGTGTTGTACATAAAATTCAGCAAACGGTGCTTCATACTCACCACCTCTATCACTTCTCATCACCTTAATTTTCTTGTTAAGTTGATTTTCAATTTCATTCTTATAGAGAATAAATTTCTCTATCGCTTCATCCTTTTTAGCAAATATACATAATAGTATTTTGTGATATCTCGACAAAAGTAATGAAGTACTTGTTGCCACCTTTTGTTTGTACAAATTTTAAATCACATATGTCACTGTAAATTAAATCAAGTGATTATGTATTCCGTTTAATTGATTTAAATGATGATCTTGTTAATTTTGCCTCAACATAAGTTTTGCACTTATGTTTGGAATCAATATGAAACGCGGGTATGCAATTCAAGTTAACTAGTCTACGTAAAGTATCATAGTTAACATGTCGTAGTCTACCATGCCACACATTGGAAGACTCAAACAAGTAAGCAAAAGAGGTTACTTTATTCATTCTTGGTTTAACAACCATTATATTCAGTTTAAACATACCATCTAAAACATAGACTTTTCCAACAAACATTCCACTTTTTTTCAAAATGACTTTTCTAACTCTTATACAATACGAAAATCATACTTATTTAAAAGCAATCCAGACACAATGTTCTTGCGGATTTTTGACACATATAGCACATAGTTAAGAGTCAACTATTTTCCCGAAATCATTTTTAGAACCACCTTTCCTTAACCCTTGATTTCAGAAGTTGCTAAATTTTCCACAAACAACTTTTCTTCATTCTCAATTGCTTCAAAAGTCATAAATAGTTCTTTATCATACCACACATGCCTCGTAACTCCGGTGTCAATCCACCACTCTTTTGGGCTTGAACCCACCATATTCACCTCAAAAATGACGGCTGCGAGATTCATTTATAACACATCATGTACAATGTGGTTAACTACATTTACTTCTTTCTTCTTCTTTGGCAATCTACATTCTGAATATTTGTGATCTACTTTGTCACAATTGAAACATTTTCCTTGAAACTTCTTTTTAGAAATTCCACCTTTAGGTCCTAACTTAATCATTTTGCCACCGGATGACCCGGCGTCTATCCCTCCTTTCTTGACAAGCATTTGTTCAAGAATGCCTTCTTGAGGTTGGCCAGCTCTTGATGCTTAGAGGTGTCAACATACTATACCACACCTCGGTTGCGCTATTAAGTGTTAAGTGGAAGGCCCTGCATTTCAGAGCAGGCGAAGTCTCTCGAAGGCTCATTTGCGTTTTGTACTTGTTGAGGTGCTTCTCTGGGTCCCCCTTTCCCTCATATTTGGGAATTTTGGGGTGAACAAAGTTCCGAGGCATAGGAAAACTATGAAGCTCCCTGGAGAAAAGGGAAGTTGTCATTGTCATCATCATCATCTAGCTCGTAGGACTGACACGACTCGTTAGAATAAATCCCTTCTGTTCAAGGACGAGGTGGTTGTTGGGAAGTTCTGCCTTGATTTCCCAAATCAACTAGATTTCGCCTTTCCCGCCTATTCATAGGCGGAGGGGTCTGAACTTCCTAGCTTTGTGCACGCTTTTGTGGGCGAGCTGTCTGATGGGCAGACTAATCCCTATTTCTAGGCATTCACCTGATTCGATCAAAGAAACTAGTAGACCTCTGAGGCCGCTCTTCATAGTCGGGAGGGGAGAGTCATCTCTCCTAACTTGGTCGTCTTCAGATTGGGGGGATAGTATAGGAGGTGTCCACTCCCATTTCCCTTTTACTGGAACTCTCCGTTATTGACCTGAATGAGTTCTCCTACTCGATTCTGCTTCAGTTCTTTGAACTGATTGTGGGGAATTTTGGTGGACCTGGAAGTCGCCCTGATTTTGTACTTGCATGAGGAGTTCCTGCATGGCTGCGTTTTGGGCTGCGATATTCCTCATTTTAGTGGTCATACGAGCCACTGGGCAGTTAGCCGCGCAGCAGTCCTCCCGCCTATGCGGTATCAATGATGGGGCCTTAGGTGCGTGACATTATTCCAGATGGTCTCTTCTTCAAAGATCTCTCTTGTTCTTCTCGGGTTCACTTCTTCATCACTTGAACTCATTAGCTCAGAGCCGCCAGTCTTCTTCCAAACGGTGAAAGCTCACAGCTTGTTCTTTTTCAAGAACAAATTCATTTTTCAAGGAGGAAATATCAACTAAATATTCTGATAAACTTTATCTTTCGTGGGGGTATTCGTAGTTACAGTAACGTTCCCACAGACGGCGTCAATCTGTTGACCTCGAAAAATGGTTCTGACACGTGGCCAACAAAATGAAACTCCACGTAAGCTCCTCCCTGCGCACGGTAGCACATCGTTAGTCACTCGTGGCCTTTTCCGGTGGGGATGGAAGCTGCTGCGAGCACTCAACAGTCAAGTCAGTATTTCGTTCAACTGAAATGTGGTCCTCATCGGTGAAGTGGTCAGCGAGACGTGGTTGAGGATGTGTGTAAATATAGTGAAAGGCTTTTTAGAATTCAAAAACTAGAATGCAAATATTAGAAAATGGGAACCCCTTACTTTTACTAGTATGGGGTATTTATACTAAGGAATGGGAGAGGTGGACCGTTAGATGAAGAGATACGTGGCTTTAAATCTCGTAGAGTCATCCTCTCATGGTGTTAATCCGTCAATTCATAGGCTGACATACATTTAATGGTTTCTAACATATCAGTTGAGTTGACCGTTTGTAGCCTGTCACACGTCCCATCAATTAGTCAGAGACTTGACTTCGGATAGATCTTCTCACAAAAGATTTTGACAGAGGTGTGACAAGACGAATTGTGAGGCGTAACGAATGTGGGGTGCGAACCTTTGCACTCGCCGTGAATTGCGGATGAGTTCGGTTCTTACACGAGGTGGGGCAATAGTGTTTCAGTTCAGAGTTATAGAATCAGTTCGTCCGATATGAATTCAGTTTGTCTGTCACGGGGCAACATGAGAGCAGTTCGGCTAACATGTGGCATATGAGGTGGATGGACGAGGTGGAGGGCCTCAGAAGGTCCGTAACAATTATTTTTTTTATTTAAAAAGAAGTATTATAGTTCAAAGTCATTTATGTTTTAAAGTATTTGCTTCTTCTATAAAATAAAAGAGAATTATGTTGTCAATAAAAATAATTCTTAACTTGATCGCTCTCGTTGAATTATCATCAAGAATTGTCAACAATTTAAATCGAGATGGGCTCCTGTCAATTCTTGCATAATAGTAATCTTTTTTTTAGTCAAGCATATTTATCCATTTTATTTGATAGATAACAAGAATTTGAAAAAAAAAAAAAAGAAAAAGGAAACTTTACACTACCCCCATCAAGTAAAAAATTAATATATGTTTAAAAAAGTTTCAAAAGAACTCTTATAATAAAAATAAATTTTTAAAAATTTTATCTAACATATATCAACAAAGATAATTTTTTCATTCAAAACCAATGTGATATCCAGGGGAGGAGCTAGAAGAAGATAATCGTGGGAGCAAATTTCATAAAATTTTAATTATGGGAACAAAATTTAAAAATTATGAATTTTTTTTTGGAAATTCTGAAATTTTTTGGGCAAAATAAACATAATTGAAATTTATTGTGGAGGCAGTGAACCCCACTTCCCCCATTATAAATCCGTCACTGATCACGTCGATACTAATATTAAAAGTTTGATTTGTAAGATATCTTAACTAGAAAGAACTTGTATAATAATGTAATAAAAGTTATAAAATATATTGGGGCCATGTTTAATGGGATTAAAATCAAATTTTTAGTATATCTGGATAAAATTTGATTATATATATGATTAACGAGTTGTAAATTTTATAAAATATGTGATTAAAATTAATTGTTGAGTTTGAATTAGATTAAAATCTTTGTCAAATAGGGGTGGGAAGAAGGCAAGTTAAAAGTCATATTATTGGTGTCTTGTCATTCAATAAATCCCAAAAATTTGGAATTTTCAAATCTTGTGATTCCCAATTCTCAAACAAACAAATATTTAATCAATTTTGACCGTCGGTAGATACATTCTCAAATGGCGACAATTATAGTCAAAGTCAAACTCTTGCGCTGACCCGCGGCAATAGGACGTATTTCCGACTTTACTAAAATCTCCTTACCACTATTTTCTATTTTTTTAATTCTCACGAAATATGTGAATAAAAACATGTTTATACAAACTATGGAGAGCCTTATATTTATTTACGTATTTATTCCCGACTATATCTTCTATTCGTATAAAAATTCTTATTACACTTATTTTTTACTATCCTCTTAAAAAAATGCATACATACGATCTTCGATTTTTCTTATTTTTAATCTAATAAGATTTATAAACACCAACATCATTTTCTTAACTAGAAACCAACGCATTCAACTTTCTTAGTTCGTATTATAAATTTGAATTTCATAATACTTAAATGAATTTTGACGTTAGGTGAATTCATAATATTTTGACGTTCTCTACTCATTTTTATTTATCCTCTGTTTGATGGAAATTAAAATTAGATTTTTAAAATATTTTGATAAAATATGTAGTTGAAATATCGTGAATCTCATAAAATATGTGGTTAAATTAAAATTTAGATTTTAACTTTCACCAAACAGGATTTAGTAAGAACATTGAAATGTCGTTGTTAATGCATCATTTAAAAGTCATGGTTAGAATTGTTGATTTTGAACGGGTTGGACTAGGGATATTATGAATCAAATTGTAAGGGCAAAACCGTCAAATATACCATCCAGTAGTTGGTCTAATGAAAGTGAAAGCCAAGGAAAATACACACACACAAAAACACACCGTTCCTTCCACCTTATAATCTTACCCTTTTTCTTCGAAATCGAAATCTCTTTTCACTGTGCGCAACTTTTCACTCAAATTCCCTTATTTTATGGCTTATTTTTAACTTACATAATCGATTTATTAACTTCGTTCTCATATCACTGTTTTACAGTACAATTTTTGTGACTTTATATAAAGTGATTGTTGCTAGAAGGATTCAGAATCTGCTTTGTGCAAATGGGTTTCTGGGGTCAGACACATTTTTCTTGACGACCAAGGTGAGGAAATTATCCTCTTTTTACTGAACACGTCGATCACTTCTCTTGACTCTTGCAAAGATTTATGCTTTGGATTTGTATCCGTTGTAGGTATTAATTTTTTGTTGTTGTGATCTTAAAGTATTTGGATTTTCAAATTTTATCCTTTATTTGAATTTTAAGGCTTCTTTCCTGTGCAATTGAGAGTTTCAACGCTTTTCAAGGTTATAACATTTATTTTTGATCGAATATATATTTGGTAAAAGATTGAAAATTTAAGTCAATAGACCTTTTTTTCTTCCTTCCTGGGATGTAGGTTTATATGGTTGTGTTCAAAGACGATGAGTAGTTATAGTGAAACAGAGGATCGATTCTTCGACAGCCGTGACGAGGTCTCTCCTGTATCTGATTTGGGTTTTGATTGCTCCGAGGGCTGTTCAACTCCTGATCTCGATAACTGTGCTCTTGGATACGAGTTTTGGACTAAGATACCAGAAAGTGTTGATGAAAGACGTGCTAAGTTTTTGAAATGGGTCGGTTTGAGTTCACATTGGTGCACAGCCGATAGAGATGAGGAGGAGAATTTACGTGATGAAGAAATCAAAACGCGCATTGATAGGTTAAGGGATAATGGTGAGACCGTGTTGGCAAATTCGAATTCTGAAACTCAGTTTTTCTCATGTCGGTCCTTGCAGGCGTTTTCCTCATATGACTCTACAGAGTTAGTAGAAAATTGTGTTGTAGACAAGGATGCGTGGAAAATTAAAAATTTGGATGATGGAACTGAATTTGTGGTGGATGAACTTAGTGACCATGGCACACCTACCAGATTACGTGAAGTGGGTTCCAATAAAATTGTGTCACTTGAAGAGTTTCACAAGACTCTTGGCTCATCAGCTTTGGTTCAGCGATTATTGAGGAAAGAATCTAAGGGCTTTAACATGCTTGATTCGAAGAAGAAAGTGAAAAGCAGTTGGCTCAGGAGATTGGGTTTCATGACTCGTAATTCAAATAAAACAAAGGAGGTTCATTTGAAACCTAATGAGATCAGTTCAAAGACAGTGGCTAGTTGTCGAAGAGTTCCAGTCCATGCATCTAAAAAACATTCAAAAGAACTGTCCTCTCTGTATACGGGGCAAGAATTTTCTGCACATGATGGCTCAATCTTGACAATGAAGTTCAGTCCTGACGGAAATTACCTTGCAAGTGCTGGGGAAGATGGCGTTGTCCGCGTGTGGAAGGTGCTTGAAGATGATACTTTAAACAAATTCAACATTCAAGACACTGATCCCTCATCTTTATACCTCTCTCTGAATAATTTTTCCAAGTTAGCTCCTCTAGATGTTGATAAACAAAAGACTAGTAAGATGAAAAGTTTGAGAAAATCGTCGGACTCAACTCGTGTCATTCTTCCACCTAAGGTCTTCCAATTATTGGAGAAACCTCTGCACGAGTTCTACGGGCATACGGGTGAGGTTTTGGCTCTCTCATGGTCCAAGAATGGGGTTAGTATAAATATTTATCATGTCCATGCATTTCAATGTAATATATTCTCTAAATATCATTGAGTGCTTAGACTGCATTTTAAAGGGGATTTATGTGGATTTTAGCAATGCTTGTCTTGTTATTTTGCAGCATTTGCTGTCATCTTCAGTTGATAAAACAGCTCGCTTATGGAAGATGGGACATGATCAGTGCCTTGGCGTATATTCACATAATAACTACGGTAAGTCTGGCAGCTAGATTGGTTTGCTTACATATTATATACTAACTTCTCTACAACGCTTTGTTTTACTGGACTTACTACATATGTTTAATTCTTATATTATTCGTGGTACAGTGACCTGTGTTGAGTTCAATCCCGTGGATGATAATTATTTCATTAGTGGTTCAATAGATGGGAAAATACGCATCTGGGAAGTTCAAGGCTGTCGAGTCATTGATTGGATCGATATTAGAGAAATAGTAACTGCCGTGTGTTATTGTCCTAATGGCAAGGTCTGATGGACATCTTACTTTTAGCTTTCCTTTTTTTGTGGTGTCCATAATCTTTTGGTTGGTTTCTTTTAACATATGTTATATCTTATTGCTTCAGGGAGGTGTAATTGGTTCTATGGAAGGCAATTGTCGTTTTTATGATGTTGAAGGTATGTGTATATTACTTTTATGTCATTGACTATTAAAATACTATTATCGAGTTTACAATCTACTCAAGTAAGCCACATTTACTACTTTTTGCTATGAATTATTATTTACTTTGACTGACAAGAAAGAAAACTAATAGTTGTACAAGGACAGATACTCTAAACATGGAAACATATAAAAAATGGCAATTTTAGGCTGTCTATGATACTCCACTATTGAAGTATTAGAGTCACACACTTAATTTGTTAATGATTAAATAAGGCTCCATATTAATAAAAAATAAGCGAAGTATTAAGCTTTCTATATTTCATATGGTGCATGCAATTTTGAGGTGATATAATAACATTTCTATATATGTAAATTGAATGCAAGATATATATAAATATGCCGGAACATGGCTTTCACTTAAATATACTAGCATCTCTGGGGGAAAACTTTGCATATATGTGCACCCATATGTGCATATGCAATGTTGTGTAACTTTGTATGTTTACTTGCATGTCCCTGATGTGTTATGTACCACACGTTGGAAAATGACATGTTTATCTACTGTGTACCTTGTGTCCATGTTTGTTTGTCTGTTGTGGTCGATTATAACTCCTGATGGTATCTCCAGTCTGCCACCCATGAAGATTAGTACTTGGAGGAGGATAAATTAAATTTTATTTCCTTACAGCAGTTAACAATTTTACACTGGAAAGTGTTTTTTGGTAGCTTAGGTTGAGAATGCGTAGTGTCGAGACTCGAAAGTGATACCCATTGACTTCTTGTTTGCTTAATAATGCACTTTGTAGTGCTTGTACAGTTTTACTCACTCATGATCACTGAACATCTCAAACAATAGTTTCAACTGAAGATTCAAGACAAGTTTTGAATGGACAACTTTTAATTAAATGTTTTTGTAGAAGCCATAGGTTTTGTGATGTTGGAACGACAATATTTATTTATTTTTATTAGGGTTATTCCTTGCAATTTTGTGTTCTTGAAGATGTATGTACTTGTAGAGAAGTGTATGAACTCAAAATGGTTGTTCATATGACGCGTGTTCTTTCATCTCCACCTTACACGTTTGTTTGTGCATTTCCTTTGTTTATATTATTAAGGATATAGAGCTTTGATGTTGGATTCTATTTTTTGATGCTCAACAAGAAATATATTTATTTCATTGTTGTTACAAATATGTCAAGCATTATACTGCCGAGCCATTCATAATTTGTGATGTGTACAATGATCAATATATAACAATTACTTAAATGACTTTTTAGTTTAATACTCTTATGTGAACGACGGATAATAATATGCCATAACCACTTTGGTTTAGATAATCGTCTGCAATTGGGTGATCAAATATGCCTAAAGGGGAAAAAGAAGTTAACTGGCAAGAGAATAACTGGATTTCAGGTACTCATTTGCACTCTGTTGTCATTTTTCATTCGTTGTTTTATTTTCTGCACATTTGATGTCTTTGTTTATATATAGATCATGTAATTGTTCATTGTTCAGTTTTGCCCGAGTGATGTGAGCAAAGTGCTGGTCACTTCTGCTGATTCGCAAGTTAGAATTCTTTGTAGTACCAATATCATCTGCAAATTCAAAGGTGGAAAGTTCCTTCTTTTTTGTTTGTTTTCAATGAGTGCATGATTTGCATTCTTTTTTTACTACATTATTAGCTCTTATTTACCTGCCCTGGAACCTACTAAAATCTGTAAACAATTTGAGATCGAAATAGTTTAATGAATATTATACTTGTACAACTATTTTGTCTAAGAACTATTAGGGAAATAGAAAACCGAGATCTTGAAAATATGACACAATCAGAAAGGATGCATGAATTTTATTGTTCTCAATCTCTAGTTTTTCGTCTTTTAGGTAATCGAAGTTCAGGAAGCCAAGTACCAGCATCTTTCACATCAGACGGGGAACATATTGTTTCTACTACTGAGGATTCAAATGTCCATGTGTGGAGCTACTCTACCCAGGACCAGAAATCATCTCGATCAAAGAACTTGTGGTCATGTGAAAGTTTCTTGTCACACAATGCTTCCATTGCTATTCCTTGGTGTGGCTTGAAGAACAAGTTAGTAGCTCTACCAGGAAGTATTTTAGGAGATGGACATTTAGATGAGAAAATGCTCCAAAAATTGCCTGCTTCTTTCCCTGATTGTTTCACGACGAGCCTCGGGTTTTTCTTGGATGCTTTATATAAGGGAATTGCTACATGGCCGGAAGAGAAACTCCCCCAATCAAGTCCAGTGGCAGTTTCACGTTCTAGGTGCAGATCTGAGTTCAAGTTTCTAAAGAGTGCTTGGCAGAGCACAATAAATTCTCCTCATTTGTGGGGTCTTGTGATCGTAACTGCAGGCTGGGACGGATGTATCAGAACATTTCTCAATTATGGATTGCCTATTCGATTCTAAACCAAAATTGTGAGGGCTTCTCGCTCTTTCTCGCCCCAACTCACACCATTGCTGCAGCCTGCAGGTTATGTTTCACACTGTGATTGTGAAAAATTTCGGAGAATTTGCATAAAGTAAAGAAAGTCGTGGCTTTATGGATGTGGAACATTTAGTGCATGTTCTGTATGGAGGATTCAATGGTACGCGACAATGTTCAAGAAGAAACATCATACTATTCAAGCTCGTCCAATACTATGTACTAAATATGCATATAGTCATAGCATGTAGTATAATTATTGAAATACGCCCAGAGGCAATACTTGAGTTTTGGTCACAATATACTGGCTGGAATTCTTTTCTATGTTGGTTTCCTGTTCATGTCAACCCTACAATTCTTTGATTTGTGAACAGACTGGTTCGTGGTTTCTCATTGAGAATCATATAGAAGAATAATGTCATAATGGCCACAGTTCTTGTGTGTGTATATAATTATAAGAACGAATTTTGTGTAACTGCAACTCTGATTATCGAAAACTTTCTATATAGATGTTTTGCTCGTTTTAAACTGGGCATTCCAGTTTATTCCCTTTTGAAATTCTTACCTTGAGTTGCTCGGTACGGCACTTGGACTAGAACAAAAATGCTGCATGAGATGAAAAAATATCATTTTCAGAGATTCTTTTCTTTTTTTGGAGAAAAGTTACCCAAAAGCTTAAATATTTTGCTCAGTGCCATTCTCTAACGTCACTCTCTGGTTTTTGAATGGTAATGAAAAAAACACTCTCGTGCTTTGGTGGATCTTGACTTGTGGGTTCTATATTTGGGCCCAGTTCTACATGGGCTTGATGGATATGGGCAATAATAGAAGGGAAAAAATCATAAATAAGGTGTATAGTTTATACAAATTCAAAAATCAGGTTTATAGTTTAAAAATTCAAAATTCAGGTATTTTGTAATTAATTAAAAATATTTATTAATTAGATCACAATTATACCATTAATGGTCACATATATATAATTGTAGGTCACAGCTTATCTACCAGTCACATATTATTAAATTAATTGGTCACAAATTATTTCGAGGTCACAAATCAAAAAATTGATAGGTCACAGATTATTTCGAGGTCACAAATCAAGATTTTTAGAGGTCACGGATTATTTTAAGGTCACATATCAAAAATTTCTTTGGTCACAATTTGTTCATCGATCAAAATTTGTTTCTCGATCACATATTTTCAAATTATTTGGTCACAAATTATTTTGCAATCACATATTATCAAATTTTGAAGTCACAACTGGGTTGATACTTGGTCACAGACGACCAAACAATGGTCACATACATCTAACAATGGTCACATACAATCGCCACCAACACTACTGCCACTGCAACTAGGACCACCCGCACCCCGCCGTCGCCGCCACCACACCACCTCCACAACGTGCCACCACACCCAGAGACACCACCATCGCACCAACAATAACGAATAAAAATCATCTCTTCTACAGCCCCTCAAAACCACCACAACCACACCAACAAAGAAGAAACCACCCTAATACAGCCCCTCAAAACCACCACACCACCGTCGCACAACACACCACCACCCCTACAAACACCACCAGCCGGCGATGCTTACATCAGACATCAGTGCGTCTCCTTAAACGCCACCACACCAACAGATCGTCACAGCACCACTACATCAGTACGTCGTTGCAGCGGCGATCTAAGCTCAGGTCTGCTTCCGCTGCGCCGTGAGTCATCCCTGCACGCTTGATGCCATTTACAGGGAGAGGACAGAGAGAGGGAGGGAGAAGGACAGAGAAATGACACTGCCGTTCCATTCACAAGAGGAAGGACGGAAAGGGGGAGGTGAGCGTTGCCGCCGAGCCATGAGCCATCACCGGCGA